TCAGTATTCAACTATATGAGGCTTATAATTTCCTGTTTTTACAAGAACTAGATCACAGTGGGAACAAGATGGCATGCTGAATCTGGGTAATAAAAGGGCTAGTTAAGAAAGTATGGATAGAGTATAGAGAAAGCAACAAGGAATAGCTCAGTGCCCAGGGCTCATAGCAGCAAGGAGCAGTTACCCCATAGGTCGGAAGGCCTGTGCAAGGATTTGGGTGAAGTAGTCAAAGAGGTGGCACGCAAAACTTCTTAGGATTACTACCTGCAGGCACTCAGTGCGCAACAGTTTTCATCAGGGGGAGTTATGGTGCTCTGGATGGTCCCAAAGTGAGACTGGAGATACTGTGGTAGAAAAAACCAAGGTAGAAACGGTTACGAATAGGAAAGTGTGACTGGAGTGATTACTCTGTGGTCTCATCAAGTTTCCCTGAATGCACAGTTGAGATGGATGCTAAGTAAATTAAAATTTGGCCATGTTAAATATGTACCTTTGGAATTGCTCAAGCACTTCTAGGTAGCAAATACTAAGCAATAAAAATTCCAGAAGAGCAATTAGAGATGACTGTTCTGATTAAGGAAACAGCTGAAGCAAGACTTTTAATTCCCATGAGCTCCCTTTTACCAGTCCTGTCTGGTCAGTATATGGGAAGACAGTTCTTAGAGGTTAACAGTGGACTCTTGGTGATTAAACAAGATCATTTCTCTGACTGCTTCAGCTGTAACTAACATACAAGAATTTATAGGAAGCACAACAAGCCTAGCAAGACAAGTATTTCATTACAGACTCGATTAACGCATTCTTTACGACGCCAGTGTCAGAGTCCAGCCAGCTGAAACTTACTTTCTCATGGCAGGAAACCCAGTACACATTTCATGCTTGGCCACACAGACATTTGAGTTCACTAGCATATTGCTGTAATCTAGTGAGGTAGGCTTGGACTTGAAAACCATTAAGAGTAAGTTAATATTATAATTGATGACTGTGGTACTAGTGCACGAAAAACCATTAAAGAATTTGAAAAAGCAAGTCCAGAAATGGACCCAAGCGAGGGAATACAGTATATGAAAAAGTGGCATTTCAAATCAGGAGGGGAAATATGTGTTGTTTAAAAAATGGTGTTGGGCTATGGTCATATCAAATCTAAAAACACTTAAACCTCATTATCTCATAACTGTATAAATTCCTAATGGACTAAATATTTGAAAATAGGAAACATGAAACTTTGAACTTAACAGAAGAAACAAGGAGACCATGTTTATGCAAATTTACAACAGGAAAGACCTTTCTAAGTATGACACCAATCCCAGAAGCCATAAAAGAAAAAAAATTAATACATTTGACTGTATCAAAAGTAAACATCTATGTGGCAAAAACCACATGAGCACAGTCAAAAAGACAAAGTAGGAAAAATATTTGAAATTCACACTACATAAAATGGCTAATTTTTATAGTATATAAAGAGCTCCTACAAAAATCAATGTATGAAGACTAAACCCAGTAGAAAAATATAAAAATATAAATTATGCATATAGAAAATTTTCTATAATTTTCCTTATATAAAAGGAAATATCGATAGCTCTTAAACATTTGAAAAGCTGCTCAATCTCACAATAAGAGAAATGCAAATTAAAATCACATGGAGAAACGTTTTCTCCTACCTATCATATAGATCAAGATAGATAGATAGATAGAAAGAAAGACAGGCAGAAAGAAAGACAGGCAGAAAGAAAGACAGGCAGATGTGTGTGTATATATACATATAAACAGATATCTATATATGTATCTGTGAATCATGTGTAGCATTGTAATAAAAATGGAGAAAAACAAGCAGTCACACATTGCTAGTAGAAGTGTAAACTGGTACTCTATGGAAGGTGAAATTGGCATTGTCTAACAAATACTATAAATGAATGTATACTCTTTGATCCGGTAATTCTATTTCTTTAGGAGTTTATCTTACAGAAATATTCACATGTGAAATTATGCATGAACAAGCTTATTCACTGCAGCATTGTATATACTATCAAAAGACGAAACAAACTAAATGTCCAACAATGGGAGATTACCTCAATAAATGATGTTACATTCATTAAATGAAATACTATGCTACTGTAAAAGAAAAAGAACGGCCAAGCTGTGTAAATGCTATCTGAATGCTTCCAGGGAAACCAGCACAGCAGGAAGAGCTGATGTGCTACCGTTTGTATAAATGAAAGAAATGAATAAATATTCCTATTGTTTTCTTATGTGTTAAGCATCTCCTGAAGGATTCACAAAAAAACTCAAATCTCTGCCTGCCTTCAAGGAGGGGACCTGGGGAAAAAGGTGGGAGGGATACCCTTCACTTTGTCTCTTCATTTTTGAACACATATGTGCACGCACACACTGGATATTCAAAATGTTTAGATTGAAATTTAAAATATAAAAGATGCAAAGTATAAAAACCTTTCTCCAGAGACTACTTTGTTTTGGTTTTTACTTTTCACTTCTTCCTTATCCGAGATGATGCAAAGCAACATTGAAGTTTTCCTGTACTCTTGCCAAAGGGATGATTTTCTTTTCATGTCTCAGCAATGCTGGGACACAGAGGCAGTGGCTGCAACCCACAGCCCAGCTCAGTGGGCGTGATCAGAGGGCCGATTCAAAGAGCGGGGAGACTTGGGGTTGGGGAAAAGGGTTTCTAGCCCCTTGGGAAAATGGTCTATGGTGGCATCAAATCATAATTCAATGACTTCTTTGAGACAGCTTTATTGGGTATGTACATTCCTTATTCGCTAAGAGAGAAATTAAATAGTGAGCAGGCATGTTTGGGGCATATAGGCAAATTCCAAGGCAATTGTTTAAATGTTATATATTCTTCTCCTTTATTGCAATATAAATAATACCATCTGGAAGGGACTACAGATCTTCGTTTCAGCTATTTAGGGAAATACACTGGTAAAAAATACAATGGTCACAGCTGATTCAAAAAAGAAATAGGAAAATATTATATGAATAGTGAATTTCAAGGGGTCCCCATAAAAGGGAATTTGACTGAAGTTCCCTGGAACACATGTCCACACGTGTTTGCTGACAGTGGGGTTTTTAATGACTTCATGGAAGCTTCATGTACCATATTTATATGTAAATTAGGTTCTGGACCCAGTTCCACTGATTTCCCCACAAGCAATGCTGCAGACACCACCTGGGTATCCTACAATTCACCTCAGTCCTGACACTGTCTACCCAGAGATAGCATCAGATACTGCACATTAAGGGGTCAGTCCCACAAAACTGCCACCCCCACTTCAGAAGACAGTCACAAGCCCATGTTGTCATCTATACTTGTGATTGGCTGGATATAAACCAGAGGTTCCCACAATGCCCTCCTCAGGTTAGATTAATTTGCTCAAGTGGCTCACAGAATTCAAAGAAACATTTTACTTACTAGATCATAGGTTTATCAAAAAAGGATAACTCAGGAACAGCCAGACAGAAGGGCTGCATAGCGCAGATTTGGGGAAAAGGCGCAGAGCTTCCATGCCCTTTCCAGGTGCATTACCTCCCCCTTCATCTCCACATGTTCACTGACCCAGATGCTCTGCAAACCCCATCCTTCTGGGTTTTTATGGAGGCTTCATTACATAGTCATAGTTGATTAAATCAATGGCCTCTGGTGATTGATTCAACCTTCAAACCCTCCCTCCTCCACAGAGGTTTTAGGGTGGCTGGTACAAAGTTCCAATCCTTCAATCACAAGGTTGGTTCCCCTGGCAACCAGCCCCCATCCTTAAATTACCTAAGGGCTTTCCAAAAGTTGCTTCATTAATATCACAAAAGACCCCTTCATTGCTCTTATCGCAGGTAATTCCAAGGGTTTTAAAGAAGCTTTGGGCCAGGAACTGGGTCAAACATCAAATAGACATTTCTTATTATAAATCACAATATCGCAGTATGTTAATAATACACTCTGCTCTTTTATCTTGGAGCAACATGAGGGTTAAGACATGAGAGTTCTTTCCTCAAATGTATCTTTTCCCTGAATGCCTGTGACACTTAAGAAGACCTCTTATTTTAGAGTATAATCATATGAGGCTTTGATTACGAAACTCTTCATGGATGCAATTTTCTGTGTAAATACATGTAGGATGATGAATATGTCATATATATTCCCCTTAATTCATCTAAGAAAATCTTAAAGATAAGTGATACTACAAAAACTACTAGACTTTTTAACTTAGAATATTTGAATAAGATTTTAATAAAACATCCATAAAGCATAACCATGACCTATTTTGATATTTCAAAAGGCAGATCAGAAGCTGTCATCCCAATTACTCTATCCCAGCAGAAAGATTTCTAAAAATCAACACGGATCAATCCCAGGTGAGCCTTTGCTATTTAAAAACACGGAGCTGCTGCTAACTATTTCAGAGTGCATCAGGCTGATGGAAAATAACACAGCTTGGAATATCCTAGTAATTTCACTAGCGCAAAGAACACCCAGAATATAAACAATGAATCATACGTTTCCTCATTTCTCACACTCAAAAAGATGAGCTTACTTCCTTCTTTCCTACCAGCATTCCATCTGATTGATACACAAATCTTTCCACCAGGGATCCTAGACCCAACAGAAGCTCTCTCTAAATCATATGAAGATGAGAAACAGACAAGAGATAGTGACCTGCCTGTGTCACATGATACCCAGGGAATGAGATCTTGTGACACTGCAAACCAAGGAGAAACATAAACGGTGATTCATGTGAGAACACTGGAGGTCTTGAGAAAAGGGAAATAACTATTTTCTATATATTGGAAGTTCATAGAAAAATAAAATAATATAATTTACTAATTGCATTTAGTAATTAACATAAACAAAAACAAGGAAATAGTCTTTATGATCATCATGGAAGCCCCTCAGCTGGGTATAAAAGGGGACCTGTGGCAAGGAGACTCCCAAACTCAAGAACCTCACTCTCTTGGAAACCCACCCAGACCCTCCACCCTCTGACACCATGGTCAACTCCTGTTGTGGCTCTGTCTGCTCTAACCAGGGCTGTGGCCAAGGCTGCTGCCAGACCACCTGCTGCAGGACCACCTGTTGCCGCCCCAGCTGCTGTGTGTCCAGCTGCTGCCGCCCCAGCTGCTGTGGTTCTTGCTGCTGTCGCCCCAGCTGCTGTGGTTCCTGCTGCTGCAGGCCCACCTGCTGCATCTCTAGCTGCTGCCGCCCC